AAGAGCCAAACACTAGAAATCACATAAATCCCAAAAAATGCTCTGAATTCCTTGAGCAGAGAGAGTGGGAAATGTTGGGGAAGAGCCAAACCCCAGAAATCCCATAAATCCCCAAAACTACTCTGAATTCCATGAGTAGGGAGAGTGGGCAACGTCAGGGAAGAGCCAAACCCCAGAAATCCCATAAATTCCCAAAACTGCTCTGAATTCCATGAGTAGGGAGAGTGTGAAATGTCAGGGAAGAGCCAAACCCCAGAAATCCCATAAATTCCCAAAACTGCTCTGAATTCCATGAATAGGGAGAGAGGGAAATGTCAGGGAAGAGCCAAACCCCAGAAATCCCATAAATTCCCAAAACTGCTATTAATTCCTTAAATAGGGAGAGTGGGAAATGTCAGGGAAGAGCCAAACCCCAGAAATCCCATAAATCCCCAAAACTGCTCTGAATTCCTTGTCGGGGAAGACAAGGAAGAGCCAAACCCCATAAATCCCATAAACCCCCATAACTGCTCTGAATTCCTTGAGTAGGGAGAGTGGGCAATTGTTGGGGAAGAGCCAAACCCCAGAAATCCCATAAATCCCCAAAACTGCTCTGAATTCCTTGAATAGGGAAGACAAGGAAGAGTCAAACCCCATAAATCCCCAAAACTGCTCTGAATTCCTTGAGCAGGGAAGACAAGGAAGAACCAAACCCCACAAATCCCAGGGGTGAAGGCGCCGCCCGTTCAACCGCCAACACTCGGCACCACAAGAGCTTTTGGGGTTTCTTGAGTTGCTCTGAACCCCCCAAAAAACCCCAAATCCTGCTCGGGGACCCCCTTTGTCACGGGAATTCCCTCTCCCCCCGCAGTCTGCGGGAAGCTCCGGGCGGACGTCGCGTTCCTGGTGGACGAGTCCTCGAGCATCGGGCGGAGCAACTTCCACAAAGTGAAGGATTTCCTCTTCCGGGTCGTTTCCTACTTCCCCAAGATCGGCCCCGAGGGGACACAGGCAAGGACTTGGTTCTTCCCTTTTCCTGAGGGTGTTTTCCTGCTGGATATTCTGAATATTCCCCCTTTTTTTGGTCATCCCCGTGCTCACGAGTTGTGGACCACGAAGTCCAAGTGCTCCAAAGACACCAAAAAAAGGCAGGAATTAAAATCCCTGTTTTCCTGCAGGTGTTTTTCTGCTGAATATTCTGAATATTCCCCTTTTT